ACCCTATTGTACCATACCCATTTCTCATGCCAGGGAAAGGTACAAGGGACATGCATACATAACAAGACCACCTATTCCGTCTGCCATTGGGGAAGTCAATACACTTGCTTTGACCCACAGTATTCCCCAAATAAAGATTGGTTAGAAGTCCGATCTTACCAGGAAGAGGGGGCCTTAATTAGCCGGACACGAATTACAACCCCCAAACGTCCGGTTCAGTACTGTTTGATGTGTGTGCAGTTATTGGTCTAGGCCCAGAAGCATCCGTTATACAGAAAAAACGGGCACTTGTCATGGAGGGTCCAAAAACTCTTGATATACCATGTGGAGGCTTAAATTGGGAGCGAAAATATCGCCTCAATGACAAATACATGTGTGAGGAAAATGGTTTATGTGCCTATACACCTGAGTTTCTATGTCCTAGTTGGAGCTGTGTTCCATGGGCCACTTGGAAAAAAAAGGATGCAACAGCTCTCCTTCAAAAGGAGGCTGCTAGATCAGATTGTCAGTCAAAAGCCTGTAACCCTGTAAATTTTACTATCATTAATTTAGAAGACTACAAATGGCAATGGGGCATTCGAATTGGTATTCGAATTTATGGAAGAGACAAAGACCCAGGGACTGTACTATATTTTAAGAAGATCACTGCCACCCATCCAGCCACGTCCCACCAAGTTTTTCACCCCTTCTATGAGGAAATAAGAAGCAGTCCCCCTCCCATTTCAGTCACAGCAAAAAATTTGTTTCTGACCCTGGCAGAGACTATAGCCCAGACTCTGAATATCTCTTTATGCTATGTATGTGGGGGGACCTACATGGGGGATCAATGGCCATGGGAAGCCAGAGAATTAGATCCCCTCGAGCCTTATGATGGAACGAATTACCTCAGTTCTACAGCCGGGGTTTGACTCCTGAAAACCTCAATAATTGGGAAGAACTGTCTTGCCCGATGGGGGGAAAAGTTCACCATTCCTGTCGGAAACTTAACATGCCTGGGCCAAAGGTTTTATAATTCAACCACCTGGGAAACCCAATGGTGGGGGTCCCCAGGTCACCATGAGCCAAATCCTCACCCCTTGTTCAACTTCTCTCATCTCCGGGAGGCCTGGGACAACATAGACGCTGCCATCGAATGCC